CGCCGATCCTACGCCAGAGACTCGAGCACTTATATCCGACCTCTACACTGACTTTGGAATTCGTCTGTACTCATCGTCTCGAGAACCCTTATCCATGGCGGCTTTTAGCCTTTCCGATTTTACTCGACATTACAATAGTGAGGAAAACCAGCAGATGTATGAAGCGCTCCCCTTCAAGGAGATGAAGTTGTACTCCGTCTGGAACCTTGCCAGCTACCTCCTTAAGCGTGCCATTCCCAATAAACCCAAGAGTTGGATGTATGTCTTTCCTTAGCTAGAACTGACAATGTGGCCACTAACTGTGACTTAGGACTCGTTACATGCTAAGTAAATGTCTCTGGAAGATGTTCAGCTGTGATGACTCCGTCAGGGGCACATCAAGGCATATTCACCTTGATGATCTCCTAGATTCTCTGCTCGATGCTATTGATGCACTGCCCCAGAAGAGGGATTCTCGGTCCGATCCTATCTTCGAACCTCACTATAAGCTCGTATCTATTGTTCACAAACTCGTGCACAGAGGAGTAGTTACGGTACGCAACATCCCCCAGGGTTGGCTTTGACCATGTGTGAGCGGCAGTTAACTTTTCTTTCCAGCCGGCTGAAGGAAGCAAGACTCTTGTGGCCACTCCTTGGGCACGAAAGGTGCCACCTCCGGAGGAAGGTGCCCCTTGGAAGCCATATATATTGGCTGTCATTCGAAACTTGAAGCATGCCGACAAATCGAACTGGCATCATCGCATGGCTGTCAGGGTAAGTCTAATCATCTGCACTATCTATTAGCTGTAGCGAACCAAGGCTTACCTGGACTAGGCTGCACATATCACCTATGATGATGACAAGGACGCTGCTGCAGCTGCAGGAGCCAAGGGTGAACTTACACACCAGATATTCACAAAGACAATGACGATCCAGGTGTGGAGGCCTGAGAATGAGCGTCCCGGAAGACACTTCGTCTACACGACACGATACGTGTATTTCTTCGTGGCTCTACTAGAACAGCTGGATGATCGTGCAAGCCTCGACCAACTACTTCGTCGGGTCAGGAAAAAGCAGGGCGATTTCATCAACCATGCCAAACTATGGGAAGACCTCTGTCTAACCTATGCACGAGTCATACGAAAAGCAGGAAACATCAACGAAGGACATGACGAAAGCGTCTTCAAACCCATCGGATGGGACGAATTCGTCGCAAACACAGCTCGCCTAGAAGGCCTCTCGCAGTTAGCTCCAGAGAGCATAACACTCCTCGAACTTCTTCGCGATGCCGTCGAGCTGAAGAAGTTAAACAACAACCTCATGAAAGTCTCCTTGTTAGAAGACCTCATCGCCGACATCTACTCCCGCCTATACGAGGTCAACATGCCCAACGTCATCGAACAAGCGAACGAAGAAAACAAAGAGAAGATGAAGGTAGACCACCTCCTCATGGCCAGCGATGGCGCCGCAGACACCCCTACGCCCCCGACTTCCGCGCCTGCATCCGAAGCCCCGGCACCCCGTGGCCGTACAAAGGGCATTGCAAGACGGGACATACAGAAACGGGCTGAGACAATTGTCCAACGCAAACTCGCGCCTCGCGCTCCTGTCGCCAAAGCACCAACCGCTGCAGAAAGTGAACCATCCCACGCCATCGGCGCAGTCACTTCCGCTCCCGCGCAAACGAAGGATACAGCTACGTCCGCTGCGGCGGCTGATGAGCTGGCCTCGGGGCAACAAAGCGATATCCCCAATAGCTTGCATGACAGTGCCGATGATGAAAGCGAGCTGAGTGAGATAGATGATGAGAAACTGTCTAAGCTTGCGGCAGAGCGCAGCTTGTTGTTCCCTAATCTACAGGATAGGGGATCTTTGGATCCGGAGGTGGAAATGTCGGCTCCGGCCAGCGCTGATGGGGATGGAGCTAATGAAGCGGCTGGCGACGGGGAAGAAGACGGTGATAGGGATGAAGATGCTGATCTTGGTGATGAAGGTGAGACTATGGTAGAGGAAGGCGAGGAGGGTGCTGAAGGCGATGAAGGCGAGATCGACGGAGAGGGCGAGGGAGAAGACGAAGAAGATAATGAAGCCGCTGGGGAAGAAGAAGCGCTGGGGGAAGGTGATGGCGAGCCTGAGGGCGAAGTTGACGGGAATGAACCCAACCAAATGGAAGTCGACGAGGGAGGCGAGCAACCCGCAGCTCCTGAGGTTGACCAGGAAAGTGACCATGTGTCTGATTCTGAGGCAATGGATATCTGAGGCGCTCAGACTCTAAAGCTTTTTTCATGATTTCACTGATATCTCAGGACCAACTCCTACGGCTGCATGATTTCTATCATCTGCTTCTAATTTGCTATGGTAAAAGGCGTTCAGGTGCGAGGAAGTATACGGTAAAGGTGGTATTTTAAAATGTGTACCATAAACAAGAATTAATATTTATACATGAAATGTCGTAACATCACAAGCCAAAGCATAACGCCCATGATCCTTTTCATATAATGTACAGTGAATAAGCGTTCCAATGTGTCAAGTCAAAGAAAGATGAACATGGGATAGGGCATGTCAAAACTTCAATCCGACTTCACGGAATATATCATCAGGGGATTTAGATGTCTTCCTCGGGGGCGAAATCCCATTTGCGGGTTGCCATCTTTCTTAGCCTCTTCCCAGGGGAGTTCGCAGGTGGAGCAGGAGAGAACATGCTGTCTGCAAGCTTCAACTGATCCATCCGCTGGAGAGCCATGTCAATGTCACTTTCGCGACCAAGAATGTTGGAGTTGCGAGACGGCTCGAGCGTATTCTTGGATTTAGACTTCTTTGTAGGAGACCGGCACATCAGTTCACGTTCCAATGATGTAACCTTGCTGCGAAGCTGGTCAATTTCAAACTCCAGTTCTTCCACCTTCTCATCCTTAGAAGGCTCGGGATCTGTATGGACTAGGTGCACCTGTTAGTTTGACCACAGACTATCGAGGGATAAGGGAAGGCGTGGAAACAGTACCTTGGAAGCCACGAGACAATAGTTCGATCTTCTTATCAAGGTGTTCATCGTTATGGCCAGCCTGCAACGATCAGCGATATTGTAAAAGTTGTCTACAAGTCAAGGTGCTCACCTGTTCCTCCAGCGCAATTTGCCACTTCTTTCTCTCTTCTTCCATCCTCTCATCCATTTCGGCCCAGCACTCTTCGCGCACTTCCTGCTCGATCATGAGACATGTTTCTTCGGTAGATTTCAGTCTCATATCTAATTCTACTCTCATGATCTCTTCTTCTGCTAATCTCACGGAAAGTGCCTCATTCTCCTTCATCAGTCTGTTGATTTCGGCTAATGCTTTGTCGAGCTCTTCACTGGTTGCCATATTCGGTGTAGAGCGTCCGCTAGCAGAAGATTTGCGAGGTTCAACTGTAGCAGAGAAGACAGACTCGGTCGCAGATGGAGCCCGGGGCACAGTGACTTCCCGCGCCAACGCCGAATAACGCAGGATCTGCGAAGTTGCGTTGTAGTCCCCGAGGGGATCAGCGGTTACTACCATAATTGCCTTCTGCGGGTGGCGATTGGGACCAGACGTCTGATTAGATGATGGGAATGAGTTTGAGAATAGTAGCTCGGTGAGCTTGCATTGTCTGAATGGGACCAGCGCAGTCTATGATAATTAGCAAGACAGAAGCGGACGCTCGTAAGCGTGAAAGTAAATCATACCTTCCCCTCTTGTATCTCACTCTGCATTTGTAAGCATTGACCGAGATACATCAGACTTTCGTTGATTTTGCCCGCTTCAGCCAGGGTAGATCCAGCTGTTTTGGCGGTTCTTGCACGCTCGGAGCCTAGAACACGGTTAGCATCGTTCCGATATGCCTTTATTTGTCACCTTACCAGCAAGATCTGCCACTGTGAGAGTGTTGCCCATCCATGTTTCTTCTCCCGTTCTCTTGTTGCGCATCCTTCTCTTGACTTCGAGACAGAAGAATCCATGGCTTCGGGAACTGACACTGTTTGCGCCAGTACCTGTGACTTTGCGCTCAGTAAGTCCGACTTCGAGGATGGCCAGTGCCTCTTCGTAACTACTGCAGGCTATTTTGCGTAAGCCCGCGACAACCTTTCTGTCGGGAGATCCTTCAGTAGACTTGAAAAGGAGGGGTCTTCGTCTGTCCTTCTGGGTGGTTCCCCCTCGCGATACGGTACTACCTTGGCCTGGCACTATCGCTGGCGACAAGAGGTCAAAGATGCGGTCATTATAGACTTCATACATTGACACCAGTACAATATATTCAGAGTTAGGGTTCAGTTCCAATGTGAGGTGGCTAACATCGGGCGAACGAGGTGGAACATTTGGCCGCTGGGGCAGATTACGTCGAGGGAAAATAATGGCAGGGGCCGGTTCCTTTAAGTGTTGAGATTGTTTAGCGTGATTCAGCTCAATCAAGGTAGGCTGAGTGTATGAAAGTGCAAGGGAAAAGCCAGGGACCATTTGTCTAGGGCTCGCTTTGATGGCGAGATTTTGGCTAAGGCGGCTCATGTGGCTCAAGATTGGGGAATATCCATTGCGTAGGCTATACACCACATTTTGGCCGCAAAAAGGACTTGGACAGGGGACTTGAGGGCGCAAAACCAAGGACCTGAGCAATTGGCGCTGGGGAGGGAAGCATACCGTCAGAGGAGTCTGAGCTCTGGAGGAGCTCATTGGGGTCTGTGCTCTAGAATTCCTACCACGATCGGCACTTTGATCTCCGTACACAGCCTCGAGAAACGTCTGTGCCGTGAATATCTGCGATTCTGACTGGTCCGACGACGCAACTGAGGACAAAAGGAGGGGATTGATAGAATTATCTGGTGGTTTGATTGTCGATGCTAACGATTTGAAAATCACATCGAGACTCATCTGGGTGAGGCCTCTTTGGGTCTTCGAGCCCAAGATGGTGTGGCTCTACATGGCCGTCAGCGCCGCTTCATATCTTGCTCCGTTTGATCCCACCTTTCCACTTCCTGTCACACCTAATGTAGCGACCAAGCCATCCCTTCCCTCAAGCAACACTCCCCGTATAATTGAATCGAGTCCCGTGTCCTCGAACACACTTAACTGAGAAGCCGACTCTTCGAAAACCTTGGTAAAGCCAAATTTCTCAACTGCCCGCTTTCTAGCATCGCTTGGTGGTTGTAGAATAATATGAGTTGCCGCTGGAGCTGGAGCCTCTTGGCCAATTTCAACGACATCTTGAGATTCAGGATACTCGACTGTTAAGCATCGTTCAACCTGGTCATCTTGCTGAGAGATGGGCGGACGAAGGCGGAGGTACACCTGAAATAGTGACGATTGAGAGGGTTTCGCTGGATTCATAGCTGCGGGTCCTTGTCTGTCGGCTGTTCACATAGGAGGAGACACGACAGCAACAAGTGGGTTAGTATCGCTGTCTCCACGTTGGCCTGGTTAGTCGGATCGTGATAACGTGAAGCAGTTGATGGGTTTCCACTTTCAGATGTCATGTTGAGGCAGTCATGCCCCTTTAGGTTAGTGTCATGTTGCCCAGGCAACTATCCTCATCAGCCGAAATGGCGTTCATGCCCCCTTCATCAGGCCAAAATCCAGCATCCCGAGGTGCAGCCCTAAGCAATACCACTTTTGTTACGTCAAACAACACACACCTCATGCATTGTCCACTGTCAGGGTCTGTTTTTCATGACTTCGAAACTCTCTATACGAGGTCCCGCCTCGTGATAGCCTAGTACCTCCTCTGGTCACTTACTTGGCTCAGCCCTTCTCGTATTCGTTAAGCGGAGCCACAAAATAGATGGTGACTAGCGAAGTCCATGTCACCATGCATGCGCCCGGTAGTATATTTCGATCCTCATTGACGATCCCAGACGTAATAAGCCTCCAGTGCGATTTCAGATGACAACGAGTATGGCATTTAAAATTAGCCTCATTTCCAGAAACTGTTCGGTTTGGGTAAGATAAATTGCTTAAACCAACCCAGAAAGAACGGTACCCACTAAATCCACCTCTACCACAATTTAGATTGAGGCTGGTCTGACTGTGTCATTGGGCACTCATTGAGGCTTGTACTGAACGTGAACCAGATCCAGAACTATTTTCCCCTTTCCTATTTAGGCCAGCTCGTTTTCGCTTGTGGCTCGTTGATAGTTCCTCGAAGGCCGGTTGTTGATATATAGATAGCCATAACTTCTAAAACAACAATTAAGAATTTAGACTGTGTTTATCATTTTGGTTGTTTTCCAAGCCATTATCAAGTATTAGTATATTTTCTCTCTCTATACGAATTTTTATATCTTCAGTGCTAGCTAAGGACTATGATCGATAAAAGATCGCCCTACCGTATGTTTCCCCCCCGACTTGCCCCCAACAACTGTTCATCGCTGACTTAGCAAACACAGAGGAGGGAAGCCTCTGGTACTATGCGCCAAATAAAGGCGCCCCGATCGCTTTTGCAATTCTTTTCACATTATCCGGTATAATGCATGGCTATCAGTGCTTGTATGTTGGACATACTGTATCACCGAGGCTCGAGACTGATCTTATTCCTACGAAGCAAATACAAATCCTGGAAAGTAACAGGCCTACTACCTTGGTCTGCTTTACTCTTCACAGTAGGGTTTGTGATGCGTACCATTGGGGCATTCGGGCATTGGGACGATCTGGGTGTTTTCATTTCGAGCACTGTCTTCCTTTTAGCTGGGCCGTAAGTCCTCTTTACGATAAATGAGTGATTGAAAAAGCTAACCGAGTGTCAGTCCTGTTTATGAGGGAGCCAACTTCTTCACTTTGGGCCGTATCCTATACTATATCCCGTATCATTCTCCAATTCATCCTGGTCGGGTGTTCACCACATTCATTGCAATGGGTATCGTGATCGAGATCATAACAGCAAATGGAGCAGCATTGGTTGCTAATACGAGCAATCCCGAAAGTACGCAGAATACAGGCAAGGCTTTACTCAAAGCTGCCTTGATCTTGCAACTCGCATTGATGGCGGGGTTTGTTGCTCTGGCTACCAAGTTTTACTACAACTGCCATCGCGCTGGCGTTCTGAATACTAAGGTCAAGAAGGCCCTTTATGTGTTGTATTGCAGTTGTGCACTCATCACCATACGCACTATCTACCGAACTGTTGAGTATTTCACAGCTGCAAGTCTGAACACTAGCAACATCGATGATATGAGCCCTATTCTTAAGGATGAATGGTTCTTCTGGGTATTTGAGACAGTCATTATGTTCTTTAACACTACCCTCCTCAACGTCTTCCATCCCATGCGGTGGCTTCCACGTTCAAACCGAATTTACCTTGCAACGGATGGTGTGACTGAAGTGGAGGGACCCGGTTACGAGGATCGTCGGCCATTTTTACTTACTCTCTTCGATCCTTTCGATATAGTCGGTATGGTCACAAAAAGGGAAAGAAAGAGAGGTTTTGGGAGGTTGACCAGCAGCCATCAACTAGGGTCTGAAATAGTTTATGTTTTGTTTTGCTTTGCTTTTGCTTTGCCTTGTTTTGTCTTGGTTTTCGTTTATTTCCCTGTGCCATTCATCGGATACCATTCTGTATAGAGATAGCCTCGATTATGATCATGAAACTGAATTTGGAAATCGACTAGTCCGTTGGTCGTACTATTATTTTCATATGGGGATGTTGTACTATAGTTCATGTTTAGTCCAATCAAAATGCACGGTTGGGTCTGCACGGAAAAGCTACCGAGAGCCGCAATGGAACCACATGGCCTTTTGGTACGGGCAACATTGAAGGACACCTCTCCCTTGCCCAACCGGCGGACAACCACCCACGAGCAGCCGTCTGTTGAAAAGCGTAACACGGCTAATACATACTACTGAGCGACATTAATATCGGACGTGTTATCTCTTCATACCACCGTTACCCGCGAATATCCTCTCCTTCGAACCCCCGAAGCTTCGTCCGCCGCGAATCACAGGCATAAGCTGTTTCTCAACTCGACCGTGAACAAACAATTGAACAAGCGCCTTTATTCTCAATATTTCGGTAATTGAATCGACCTCGTCCCTCCGAATTAGGTCGCCAAAATGTTGTCATTTCTCTCGTCGAATCTATCCACGCCCGGCAGTCACTTGCCCAGGCACTGAACTTCGCGCTGGTGCTCTCTACTGCATTCATGATGTGGAAAGGCCTCTCCGTGTTCACCGCATCCTCCAGCCCTGTTGTAGTTGTTTTATCCGGTAGTATGGAACCGGCATTCCAAAGGGGAGATCTACTTTTCCTATGGAATCGAAGCCCGCGAGCTGAGCTAGGCGAGATCGTCGTCTACAATGTCCGGGGCAAGGACATCCCGATTGTGCATCGCGTCGTGAGAACCTTCCCAGAAATCGAAGGAAAGGCGAAGAAGGTGAAGGAGATTTCCGAGTATGTCCAGCCCTTTGTTCTCTTTGATGCATTAAGTGTCACAAGAATCTCATCACTAACGGATCACCCCTTGCCCGTCTAGGTCCTCACCGATCCCCAACAACATGCTTCTTACTAAGGGCGACAACAACATTGCTGACGATGTTGAGCTGTACGCGCGAGGCCAGGACTATCTCAATCGCGAGGAAGACATTGTTGGCAGCGTACGGGGGTATATCCCCATGGTGGGATATGTGACTATTTTGCTCAGCGAGCACCCGTGGCTTAAGACAGTCCTCCTTGGAATTATGGGATTGATGGTCATGTTACAAAGAGAGTAGTAGCACTTTTTTACCATTGGAGTTCGGCAATGAGTACTGCTGACATCTGGTTGTTATTTCCTGGGTGATATTGATTCAGCGTATTGTGTAGACGAGATCCTGTGCATGGATCGCGGGGGCGGGTAATTATAGCTCTAATAGTAACGCCCGATGCAACCCTGGGGCCATAGTGCACACTGCACAGCAAATAACGCGGCAATAATAGTACCCAATAGTCAGAGGGGTCCACAGATGCCATCCTAGCAAAATTGAACGCATAGCTTTGCCACCATGAATTGTGCGCAAAGGACTTCTTTTCAGCGGAGGGGGTCATAAGCGCCAACAAAAAGGGGATGAAAAGATGAAGCCCGTCCCTGCTAAATAAAGCAAACATTCAATACGCAAGGCCGCTCTGACGTCGTCCATTCATTCAACTTTCCGCCCCGCCTGATCGGCTCGGCGGCCCCGCCAACTGCTTGAGCTCGAAGGTGGATGACTCGACTTTGGACAACACACTCTCTTTAACGCTTGCGGTCCTTTCAACCCCTGCGTCAATCTTTAGTCACACGGGTTCTTTGACTGTGTATCAGTTCTGGGGTATTCTTTATTCTTCTAAACAAGATCCCCCAACTTTCATCATCTAACCCAATAGAGCTCCGTCTATTCGAGAGCTATTACCCTCTTTTTGAATTTTCCCCTCCTACATTTGCTCTTCGGGCCCTCCCAAAAAAACAACTTGAAACGATGGGTAGCAAAAGAATAGCCAAGGTATGCACAAGTTTCACGTCTCGTCCTAGATAGAGCTCCCAGTGATTATTCATCAAACAGAGGGGCTAACAATCAATTTACTAGGAATTAGCTGAGCTCACAGCGTCTCCTCCAGAGGGCATTACAGTCGAGCTAGCCAACGAGTCGGATATCTACCAATGGAAGGTTTATATGGACGGCCCAGAAGGTTCACCGTATCACGTAAGTCTTAGGAGACGGAAGAGCTCCTATCCTGCTTTGATGTTAGCGCAGTGAAACACTGACCCGTATTCCCCTGAATCAGACTGGCAGATTCCTAGTCAAACTCAGTCTTCCCACTGAGTACCCCTTCAAGCCGCCATCCGTTTCGTTCGGGACCAAGATTTACCACCCCAATGTGACCAACGATGACAAGGGCAGCATGTGTCTGGGCATGTTGCGGGCTGATGAGTGGAAGCCTAGCTCCAAGATCGCAGCGGTGCTTGAGTTCGCGCGTCAGCTGCTCGTAGAGCCTATGCCTGATGATGCTGTTGAGGGCCGTATCGCAGAACAGTACAAGAATGACCGCGCACGCTATGACGAAATCGCACGGGAGTGGACCAGGAAGTATGCGATCGCATAGGGTGGTTATCTAGAAGCGCGATTACCAGGCTTAACTCCGTGATGCTGCTCTCGGAGGGAGATTCGTTGACCGGACAATATTTCATCTTTGAAAGGTGAGGTACCTGGCTGGCTTTACGTTCAAGCTGAAAATAAGAAGACACAAGAGTACATATCCGCTACTGCCATTATTTCATTCGAGCCAAAATCTCATTTGGGGGACTGTAGGGACAGGTTTGGGAGTTCTCATATTCGATGTCTGTGCCATTCATTAGCATTGCAAATCTTTTCTAGGACAGGGTCTTACCTTGCTCCGCATGTGAATACTTCAGGTTAGAGTCATAGAACCATCCAAAGAAAACAGGGGTCTTTACACAAGTTTATGTTTTGTACCCGTGAAGGGGTCAATCATAGGTACATCACCATTAGTATGGGGAGAAAATGCTGAGGATAAACGTACTACACTGCCAGTTGTTTGTAGCTTGTATACCATACAGGGGTCCAGTAGGCATATTGTTCGGAGTGACCGTAAGGAACACGTAGCGATCACTTACTATTGTATGTACTTCCAATTGATCCTACACTCTAAAATCAGTTTTGGCTCGACTATCATAGATCAACAAATCATGTTTACAGAGATGGTTCAATACCATGACCAGATTACGTTAATACTGCTCAAATCAATCGACTCCGAGGCAGATCGACATGATCTACCGCAAGGGTTACTTGTCTCGGATTAAATAGAACGATATATCAAGATATCTGATTCCGACGCTTGTTTATACCCTTACGGAAGGGTGACTACCCGGGCGAATGGTCCGCACAGGAAGGTCAGTGGCGATGAAATGAAGTGGATCGGATATAACCGCCGGATTTCCCTGGATGGATTACTACTAGTGGTGTGTATGCATCGAGGATGCATGCGTGACGGGGGTCGTTCGGAGAAAACACGGCCTGGTAGCCTCAACGGGCGCCTTAAGATATGCGTCTATACTGTAGGCCGCCAAGCCCAATGTTTTTCTTGATGTGGAAAATTGTGGGTGAAGCTGAGTCTGATGTGCATTCCACCTCCATGATGTTTCACAACGGGCCCCAGTTACCCAGCAGTCGCTTACTTTATGGTGGGTAAGGGACCGTGGGGTGACATGTAAGTGTATCTAGTATTCAGTGTTTGAGAGAAACGTTGGGGTCCATCATCATGGAACAATGGTTCGGAGACGACAGCGAATCCGAGATGGGGATCTAAAACACGGGGGTATAACAAGCGCCGTTGCAATGCGTGGGAAGAACATCAGTTTGTCAGATGTATATCGAACTGGATTGTTCCCCTCATCCTTCGCAGGCCCGGTATGGTGTGTGCATGCACTATTGACCTGTGTGCCTCTACTAACGATACAGATAGATTACATGGGACACGCCAAATGCCGAGAGGCAAAACCTCGAACGCTCGGTTCGTTCCCCAGAAGAACATGGGTGTCAAGTAATGTCGAGCAGATTCTGCACTCTCAGAGCTAAGAAAGCTAATAATATACCCTCGATGCAAGGTCAGAGAGTATCTAAGCGCTATCATGCCATCTTTAGTCATATTTCTGCACTGTTGTCAGGACGCTGTTGGTTTGTTGGGGTACCAGCGAATCGCCCAATGCAACTTCGACCCACCGATCTGTTGCCTTCAGGTACAATCGGAGAACATCGTCTGGTATACTACGACGCGCCCGGCAAACGCCAAAGCAAACTTAACCACAGCGTGCAGTAGTCTGCGGACAGTTACCGGTAAGCAAATCTCATTGTTCCTTTTCTTATCTCCGTCTCTTTTGCGTATTCAGATTTCGATTTGCGCCTATTCCCCACCCTTTTTGATTTTGAAATTTACGCCAATTCCGAGTGTTCCAGTCGAGAACACGAAAAGCCAATCTGACGAAGTGCCAAGCCGAATTAAAGAAGAAAAGAGATTGGACGGCAAATTTTCTCTTTCTGGAACTCAATTCAACAAGCCCGCGAGGAGTCAATCTACCGTTCCCCCCCTATCCAATAATAGTGATGATTGATAGACACCACTCTCAGCCGCTACGGCACGACGCAAGGGTGGCTAACGGTGAAGTGATCTCTCACAAGGGGGGAAAACCAACCGAAACAAATCCAGAGCAGCGGATTCGCGTCCACATGTCGAGTATCGGAAAAGATCACCAAGCAGCACCACTTTCTCGAGAGTTCGGAAGGACTAGGAAGACGCCGGCGTGTTCTTGGTGGCTTCTGAGGGTGGAGCGAGATATTAGTACCAAGTATGTTAGGACGATGCTAATTATCTGAGTCTGGTTAGGATCCTTCGCGACGGAATCCGGCATTTCTCCACTTCAGAACAGGTGTGCTATTCCTGTCGGGATTGGGAAATGGATTGCGGGCCATTATATCCATAGTAATAAGATTAAGGCGGGATTCTTTAGTTCCTCCTCGCTAGTATCAATGGATGGAGTCGGGACGACGGGAGCACTCCCGTATAGTGCTAATTCACCGAATTAGTTCGGGCATCTGTGGATTGGCTTGGGAAGCCTTCCATGTGAACTGAACGTGATCAATAATGTTTGATATCGTCAATTCGAAACGAATTGCAGTTGAAACCCGTTTGTTGCAGGTATGTTTTGTCTTGGACCAAAAATGCGCATCCTACCTCACGACTAGTAGGGGACTTCTCTTAGCGATGCATGCAGTCTCCAGACGGAACGGAACGAACACCCCACATACGATGTATGGCCATGTATGTATGTAGATACGAGCAACTGTAAAATACATGAACACCATCTCCTCGAGTCATACAACCTAAAGGATTGACCCCAAATCTCGATGGTTGGGGGCAGTTCCAACCTGCTGGTGGGCTGTGGGACAGAGAGGATGCATGACTGGCTGTCAATGATCCTCGTGCATATTACCTGTCATTATTATGCAGAGTAATGATCTATCATATATGAACTGACTGTGAGGATGTCTATAATGACTGATGATGTGAAGGACTCTGACCTTGCAGTGAAGACTTGGGCGTCAGAGGTGGTCAGGTGCAGCGACAGGTATTTCAACGGTGTTTGTAACCCATTGTTGACAACGGAGAAAAAAACCCATCCAGATGTACAATTCCATTATGGCATTTTTCCACCATTGATGGTCAGCTTCAATCCCTGTTTGAAATCCCGCGTTTCGAGAGGATATACAAGGAAACGATCAATAAAACAAGGCCGTTGATATCATGCGATCGTCACTTTGAAATCGCACAGCGAATCATAGCCGATGAAAATATTAAAGGATTTTATATTGGGAAAGAAACCCATTGGAAAAATACCACCAGGGTCCGTTTTGGTGAAACCCCATCCATACCGCGCTAAGCCTCAAACAAGCTGTTAGCTTCATTTTGTACCAAAATTCCCCTTTTTTTCATTCCCACTTGGGCGCTCCGCTTTCGCGCCCTCTCAGGTTTTTCAATCGCTCGTTTCCTTTCGCTCTTGTTGCTCACAGTCTCTGTCTGTGTCTCATGAGGGATGGAGTCTCCAAGTAAACCTCTGGTAGGATCGAGAGACTTTTGATGGATTGAAACACCGGCGTGGTTAGTTGGGGCAACTTCTCCGATTTATTTTCCTTCCCTCCACTCATTCCTTTTTCCCGCATTTATTGGATCGATTGTCGGGTAGCTTGGCTGCTTTTGAGATCCCATCATTCGTTTTTGAACTACGACCATCCGAGCTCTATTTACAGCTCGCTCAGCCTTTCCTTTCCTCTGTCAATTGTGCGCCGCCTGTTCTCAACTACCTTTACATATCTGAATCGGTCCGTCAAGCGGTGAAATTCGCTTCCTATTACATTCCATTTGACCTCGTTATCGACAAATGTCCAGCGGGAACTGGGTTATCAATCGTGGCCATGGTCACAGAAAATGGAGACTTTCGGTATCCGCCGTCTCCAGGCGAACATAATACTCCCAATGGTCGTCGAGGGCCTAATCCTCTTCGTCTCAATCCTTTAAGAATCAACCCCCCCTCTCCGCCATCTTCTCGAGCGTTAACCGCCACCGCCCCACGTGCGCTTCCGCTGCCACGCTCTCCGAGAAGACCCCCTGCCATTCCGGACGATCCTTTCCTGCGCTCACCCTCACCCCAACCCGGAATGGGGGGTGATATTACCTCTCACAGGCCGGCATATCGCGTACCCGTCACTGCCAATCCAACGTTTGACCGCTTTCCCAGAGCCCCCTCTAGAGAAAGCGACTTTGATCGTCCGTCGTATCGTCGCAAGACCCCTCCTCCTCAGCCGAGATTAAGAACCTCCAAATCTACGTCGAAGCTCCATAACAGACCCCCCAAGGCCTTCCATTCCCTAGAACGCCAGTCCAACGAATCCCCACAACAGGGACTGAGCCTACCGCGCTTTTATCCTAATGGATCGACAGAGGCCAATGGGGAGGATGCTCTCCGCTCCAGTGTGAATTCCGCCATGACGTCGCGCTCCAGTGTCGGACAGGCGAGTGGAACGGAGCGAAGCAGTGTCTTGACGAAGAGTAGCTCTATCACCGATCTCTCTCCAGATACACCAGATGGACCGTATGAGAAGGACGGAGGAATGAGTGTGGAAGATGCGATTTCCATGTATCTCGATGGGTTTAGTGATGTCACAGAAGAGCCAGGGTCTCCTGACTGGCGCGGAGAGAGCAAACCAAGACCGCTCAGTCCCCGTCCGCCAACGGAGCTGACCCTAGACGATGGGCATACTTCCGATGAACATTCACCCGAACTAGATGCTACCAAAGATTTACCACCGGTGCCACCGCTCCCAGCTCTAAATCCACCCGACCAGAATACGCTGGATGAGCAGTTCTTGGGCGACACGCAATTGAATGAAAAACAATTCAGCGAGCCCCTAGATCAGGCCACAGCGGATCGGCCAGCTGATACAAGTCCACTAGAGACGAAGATTTTCATTCCCGGTACCGTGCCGCCTCCGTTCGTGAAGCCTACCGAGACCAGGGACCAGTATGGATTTCGGAAGGCCAGTCACCATGTCACATTACAACAGTACGAGGCCTGGAGTCGCCCATATGCAGCTTTTGCTAGGAGTCGGAGAAATAAATGGTCAGAATTGCTGAAGGAGCATGGACTGCCCACCACCGAACCGAGGACTTTCCCGCCCAAATCGAACAAGATCAAGCGTCTTGTCCGCAGAGGCATTCCTCCCGAGTACAGAGGGGCTGCTTGGTTCTTTTATGCGGGTGGCTACGAGCACTTGAATCGTAATCCTGGACTGTATGATCAGCTTGTCAACCAGGCTATGGAAAGCCCAAGCAACGATGACAAAGAGCATATCGAGCGAGACTTACACCGCACTTTCCCGGATAATATCCACTTCAAGCCCGAATCTACTGACGGGATCGGGACTTCAGGCGCTAGCTCTGGTAGCAGCAACCTGAAGCATGGCTCAGTCACTGTCGAGACGCAAATGATTCAATCGCTCCGGCGCGTGCTCTATGCCTTTGCGTTGCACAGCCCCCAAGTCGGCTACACGCAATCACTCAACTTCATCACAGGCCTGCTCCTCCTGTTCCTCCCAGAAGAGAAGGCGTTTTGGATGCTGCATATCATCACTTCTGTTTACCTCCCCGGCACGCACGAGATCAGTCTCGAAGGGGCTAATATTGACCTATGGATCCTTATGGTCCTCTTGAAGGACTCAACCCCACTAATTTACAACAAGATCACGGGTTCCGCTCCCGGCAAATCCAAGACGCCTCCGTTAACGGTCGACTCGCGGTTACCGGACATTACCCTAGGCTTGACCAATTGGCTCATGTCATTGTACATTGGGACTGTGCCGTTGGAGACGACCTTGCGCATCTGGGATGTCTTTTTCTACGAAGGGTCGAAGACATTCTTCCGAGCCTCGCTAGCCATTTTCAAGGCTTGTGAGAGGGACATCCTCGCCGTATCTGACCCCATGGAGGTTTTCCAGGTAGTTCAAACGGTCCCCAAAAGGTTGCTAGATGCCAATACTCTACTGGATGAATGCTTTGTGCGGCGCCACCGAGTGGGACAGGGCCGCATTGAGGAGCTAAGAGCATCTCGACGGACGGCCGTTCGGCAAGAGAAGATGCGACGGTCGAAAGCTTTGAGCAAGGGATACCTTCAAGCCGCCACGGATGAATGGCCGACGACACGATCGCGGACGCCGGTTCCTGGGGTTGAGCGCAGCATTGCCGATGGATGGCGTCATATGAAAGATGCGTTCCGGTGAAGGTCTCGCCGTTGCTTTGTAACGAAATCGTTTTTATTGATACCCGAGAAACCATGCCTTGTTCCGAGACTATTTGGTACTCTACGTCATCTGTTGTGTTCTTTTGTCCCATCATCCTCGCGCACGGTCGTCTCCGGACGCGAATAGTGCTTGCGAATTTCGCCGACGCATCTCATATTCTGTAATGTTTACACCTGTAATTTCGCTCACTGATTGACGCATTTTGACGGCCAGCTGCCGGGCGTTCGTTGTGGAGTTTTATCTGTGGTCGGATATCTGATTCTTGGGTCTGACATTGCCAGCGCATGGAACTGCGCTGGTGAACTGCCATGGATCTCTTGATCGTGAAATGTACAGACCATGTTCGTGATGATCTTTCTATGTTTGTATTGTGCATATGTTGCATGAGCGCCTTTTTTTCTTTTCTCTTTCCTCAACATCTTGCGTGGCACTACTTTCAATAAGAATTCTGATACCACTGTTAGTTACTATTCATGTACATAGATTCGAACAATGATCGATCAATTGAAGAGATTACCAAAGTTGATAATAACAAATTAAATTAATTAAATTAAATGAAGAGATTTCAGGGAACGATAGAGTTGTAGCGGTGGTACACTATGGCGGACTATCGGACGCTAACGAGTAGGGCTGAGGAAGGCTGATCGCTTGGATTTTCTTGGGTTTTCTTGGAACTCCTCCGATGCAACCTCGTCATTGGCTCGCATTTGTTCGCGCGAAATCATCATGACGCGAAGGAAACCCTTGAAGGCAGTTGGTTGGGTCGTCCATTTCTTGGACATGGAGCCCTGAATTTCAGCGACCGCATGCGGAAGGGCTGCGGGTTTGGTGCAGGCAAGGCACGGCAAGGGGGAAGATTGTCTGTGTGCCTGTGCGGTTTCCTCCTTCTTTTACTCTTTCCCCCCCCCCTCGTGTTTCCCCCAATCTTTGTCCGTTCCCGGCAGTTGGTGATCTTTTCAAAGCAGCCATGAGCGGTCAAGCGGCCAGTTACTATAACCAAAACGAAAGCTTTGGTGGAGGCCAGCCTCCACCTCCGCCTCAGCAGCAGCCTTTCTACAACAACCACCCCAATAATGGCAACTATCAATACGCCGACCCTAACTATCAAAGGGGTCCCGAGCCCAAGCCGCCGCACGAAGCGCCGCCGACCTATGACCAAGCCGTCTATGGTTTTGCCGATGCCTTCAAGATTGAGAAGCCCAAGTTTAACGATATCTGGGCTGGTCTTTTGGTACGTCTTCCTTTTGATTCCCTACCACGTCTCTGGATATCTGGATATCGGGATATCGGGATATCGCATAATCTTTGTTGCTGCCTATGATGAGAGAGTCGAGACTAACCCGTATTACAGCTCATCGCGGTGTTTCTGGGATATGTTGCAGTATCTGGAGTAGCCATCCACCGATACGCGAAATACAAGGGTTTCAATGGCGGCGGCATCTATGATTCGTCCAACACCTTCTCGCTTGACACCAATACCCTGGTGTTGTTTATTTTTGTGCTTTGCGTGGCACTCGTCTTCTCGTGGGCCTACTTCCTCGGAGCTCGCTATTTTCCCAAACTCATTATCTGGGTTACAGGGATTCTGAACATTGTGTCCGCTCTAGCCACTGCGATTTACTATCTGGCGAAGAAGCAATATGGCGGAGGAATTGTGTTCCTCATCTTTGGCGTCTTTGCCATCATTTGTTTCATCAGTTGGATCCCGCGCATTCCCTTCACGGCATTCATGTTGGAAACCTCCATCGATGTTTCCAGAAAGCATGGACACATGTTTCTCGTCAGCGCCATTGGAGGTATCGTCGCAGTGGCTTTTGGAGCTTGGTTCTCTGTAACCCTCGTCTCGATCTATGTTGCCTTCGAACCCAATGGCAGTGGGGTTAACCCGGCTTGTCGTGACGGCGGGTGCAGTACGGGCAGAGTGATTGGTCTGGTCGTCTATGTGACGTTCGCCATGTATTGGTTCAGCGAATGGCTGAAGAACACCGTCCACACGACCATCGCTGGAGTCTACGGAACCTGGTACTTCTGGAGCAACTCACCAAACGGCATGCCGAAGGGAGCCACTCGTGGCGCCTTTAAGCGCGCCACCACCTACTCGTTCGGCAGCATTAGTTTCGGTAGCTTGATCATTGCCCTCATCAACATGCTCCGACAGGCGTGCTCAGTCGCACAGCGCCAGGAGGCGGCAGAAGGGAACCTACTGGGAACCATCGCATTCTGGATTCTGGGGTGCTTCATTTCCATGCTGGATTGGCTGGTTACCTTTTTCAACCGTTACGCCTTCTGCCACATTGCCCTGTATGGCAAGCCATACATCGAGTCTGCGAAGGATACATGGACCATGATGAAGACCGGGGTGTGGACGCGCTCGTGACCGACTGTCTTATCGGACCCGTTTTAACCATGGGGTCGGTCTTTGTGTCGTATATCTGCGCCTTGCTAGCGTATCTGTATCTCCAGTATACCCACCCGGCCTACAACAGCGGCGGCGAATTCACGGCCGTGATCATGGCATTCTCTTTCGTGATCGGCCTGCAGGTCTGCCAGATCTTTATGACACCAGTCGGCAGCGGAATCGAGACGATTTTCGCCGCCATGGCATGGGATCCGCAGGTGATGGTCCAAAGCCACCCGGACCTATGGTACCGTCTGGTCAACCTTTACCCTAAGGTTCAACAGGCGGTTCACGTATAATCCAACTTTGCGAACACAACAAGCTTGCACTACCCTCTTTCCTGAATCCCGTATCCTCTACATAAAGATTGTTAAGACTCAACGAAGTTAATGGCATGAGGAACGACCGCAAACGTTATCTAGCCTAATAAACACTCAACCAAGACTATATAAAGCACTAATCTAAGCTACATCAATATCATAATGAACAATCATCTCTTCATGAAACACCTAGCCCATAACCACAATCCAGCCACAACTCTAGAGAACCAACCAAGCTCCCAGCAAGCCCGAAAGTCCCACCATAGCAAGCCCAGGCACCATCTTCTCCGACGCGGCGCCCTGGAACGTCTGGAACTGCTCCGGCCGACCACTGGGTGTACCACTGGGCGCACCGCTTCCCAGAGGATCGGCCCCACTCGGCGCAGCCGCCTGCGTACCGAACAATGCATGCGATGGAGTCGCACTGGATGCAGGGCCATGCACCCACCCACTGGACGCAGTGGTAGGCGTAGCCTTCGCGCTGGATGCGTGTCCGAACACAGTAGACCAGGCTCCGGGCGTAGCGTGCGCGTTTTCACTAGATGCTGGACCGAATACCCGTACGCTTGATCCAGAAGGAGTGCTCTCAGCACCATAGGCTGTCTCGCTGGATGCTGCAGCGACAGGCGTGGCCTCCGAGTTGGCGCTAGATGCGGGTCCGAACACTCGCACACTAGACTCAGCTGCGGGTGTGGCCTTTGCAACCTCACTAGATTCAGCCGCAGGTTCACCCCTCACGGTCTCGCTAGGACCAGGACGGATGACTCCCTGGCTGGAGGTAGCGGCAGGTGTAGCCTCCGAGTTTGCGCTAGATGCTGGACCGAATACTCGGACACTAGACTCGGCGACAGGCGTAGCCTTCGCTGCCTCACTGGATGGACGGCCGAAGACTCCCTCACTAGACGCAGCCGCCGGGATACTATCTACATTCGGACTAAACGCAGGCGCAAACACTCGCACGCTCGACTCCGGCGAAGGAGTCGCAGCACTCGCCCCCTTAGACGAATACACTGAAACAGTACCATGAGCAGCCGCAGACGAAGTCCTGACAGTGTTACTAGTCGCAGGACCAAACACTCCGGCGCTAGACTCCACAGCAGGCACATTGGCACTCGAGGCAGGACCGAACACCCTAACACTAGACTCGGACTCAGCTGCGGGTGTAGCTTCATCACTCCCACTGGGCTCGGACTCAGCTGCGGGCGTAGCCTCGTCGCTTCCACTGGGCTCAGACTCAGCTGTGGGTGTAGCCTCGTCGCTTCCACTGGGCTCAGACTCAGCTGTGGGTGTAGCCTCGTCGCGTCCACTAGACTCATCCGCAGACGGATTCTCCGCCCAAGGACTCGGCACAACACCCACGCTCGACCAAGAACTCGAACCGGAAGTAGGGCGAGAGCTCTCCCCATAAACTGCCTGGCTGCTGAGCGGGACGTGTCCTGCCCACGGCACCGACGAGGCAGACGCCGACGCCTTGTTCGTCTCGCAGTTGCAGGTTGTGCTAGTCTCGGTGATAAGCTCGGTGACGACGCGGGGGTCGTCGGTTGGGGTCGGGGTGGGCGTGAGCTGCTGGTCGGGCTCGTCGACTCGCATCATGGGATGGCTGGCTCGCATGGGCAGATTGAGGTTGTTGGTTCGTTGGGTTGGGAGGGGCATTATATTCTTTTGTATTTTGGTTAGTTTCCTTTGCTATATGGATAGGATGGGATGGTATGGTATGGTATTCACACACACACCTTGTACTGAGGGCTACTAGGACCCTGGGGCACCGCTGTTGCGAGGTTGGCCGCGAGGGCGGCCATGAAGAGGTGAGGAGCTCGCATGTTTTCGTTGCAATCAATCAATCAATCAATCAATCACGATTATCTTGATAGCTTATAGTGATATATAAAGAAAAAAAGGAGATCTCCCTCAAACAAGGTGTATGATCTATACAGACAAGACAAGAATAAACCCAAGACCAGAACCACCAGAGTAGAAATCACCTAATATATATATACCCCCAACTCCCCACACACCTACATCCACAAATCCATCCATCCATACATACATACATCCCACATTCAAAAAACCAACTATACGTAGCACCTAGCAACACGCTCTCCAGAGTAACGAACCAAACTTCGAAAGATGTGTGGCCCGCATCCCTTGCCAAGGGCAAAAGGATCGGATGTGCGGTTCGGTATGTGACTGCTGTCCGGGCTACGTTTGAAAGTATAGTGCGAAGTATTACTACGCAGTAGGAGGGTGAGGGCATGGGGGGGGTCTCTGAAACGCGTGGTGTGGACATGCCGATGATGTGTTGGAATGTTGAGGGTTATTTTTATCAGTGGATTAGGGTTAGTGCTGTTGCTTTTGCTGATCTCGTATTTGCTTGAGTGGATTTGTTTATCTAGCGTAGTTTACTTCCATGTGTTTGGTATTTTCCTTTAGTAGGTATATACTAAATAGGGAATATGATGGTTCCTGAGTCGGTCTTGGTTGCTGTTCGTGATATTGATATGGCTAGGTAAGGTGAGGGGTTCCTGTGTCTAGCAGTTCTCGCATTCTTCAGGAAGTCTCCCGATTCAGAAACCCCCCGGATGTGAGCATGAGCGCTAAGAAGATCTGCGATGAGAGTTGGTTTCATTACACGATTGGACCGGACAAGCCATGGAATGTGGCGCAATATCGCCGAAGTATGTTATAATCCAGCTCCTCTTATGACGAGGGAGTTTTTTTCCGAAAGGCCGCGAGATATTCATGATTCATTCGAAGGTATGTTGCGAAGCAAGACTACAAAAGAAGTATATATATAAGTGTAAACAATATAAGCAATACGCTAGGGAAATCATAAGCATTCTGGTCGTCGTCCCGTCCCATCTCAACGCCACAAGCATTTAATCTCGATCATGAATCATTAAGCTTTCGCGCTGGTGGCACACCGGGTGGTATTGACCAGCAACCAGGCGATTATCTTTACCAGCATGGTTAGTACGCGCACAAGAAGATCCAGCCCCCAGAAGAGCATGCGTAAGCATCCCCGTGTCAAGCCCGGGAGCTTCTGTCCCGCCCGCGAGGAGCCGTCGCCGTAGCGTCCATACTTCTCTAGGTCGAATTCCTCGACCATGATTTTCTTGGTCTTGGGCTTTGCGGGCTTCGGTGGGCCCCAGAAATGGAACCATTTTCTCTGGGTGGAGTCGGCGCATTGCGATCTTGCGGATCGGATCTTGGACATAAGTTGGATGCCCTCCTTGGCGTCTTCGTGCTCGGCGCGGCTTTTTATGTTGCTATCTGCGGATGATCGTTTGGATAGTGCTTCCTTGGTTGGGTCGTAGAGTTCCATGTCTGTGAGGACGGTATTTGTGGACTCGTCCGAGACAGCAACGGCCAGCATTGCCGTGACAAGGGAGTCTATTGCATACAACGATGGGACTGTGGCGATAATGGCAGCCGCGGAAATAGAGAGGGTCAGTGTGCCCAGATCCAGTGATGCTAGGGGTTCGTCAGCATCGGTCAAAGGGAGGGTCGACGTCCGAGGCGTGGCGGCCATGTTGGCGCCTTCAACCGCATTGGCCGACATTGGAGTAGTCACAAGAATTGTTGGAGGTTGTCTAGAATCTGATTCTTTCGACGGCGTCGAAACAGAAATGTGAAGGAGTCCGGAATACATTGACCTCACTGGAGATAATGGGATACCTGCCGCACCGACAAGGGCTGGAGGTGGGAGTTTGGTAAGCGATGGATGATGCAGCTCATACAGTTGCTTGGCATTGTTCCACGATAACCTGCAAGATTCTTGTGCTGCAGCTCGCTTCAAAGCTTTCCCTTCTGCTTCTGCAGCTTCTAAGGGACCCAGATGGCGCTTTCTAGCTAGTACCTCCGCTTCGTCAATGGCCAGCATTGCAGCCAGACGGGAGAAGAGGATGGACACAAGCCCGTCATTTGGGGGTCCGCGCCGGCGGTCTTCAAGTTTTAGCATCATGATAGGAATGCTACTATTCGGCTTGGATGGATTGGTCCTGGTGACGGATAGTTCGTTGGTCGAATATGTCTGCATCTTATAGAATGGCGCTTGGGGGTCGCCAAACGTGTATGTTTCAGCTTCCGTCCTAGTTGAGCTATTAGCATCCCTCTCGGAAAGAAGAGATGTGTATTTACTTACCGTGCTACACGCAAATTGAAGTTTCCTGCTAGGTCTTGCGGACGCTGGCCGTTGGCTGCTTCCCAAAGACCCCTCAGCTCGGTAATGGACGAGTATTGTATCTCGACTTGGTCGAGAACACCTGCTGGAAAGTTCATCACGCTTGCGGGGACGGTCTTTGGCCCAAGAGCACGGTCAATCTCTGGCGGTGGTGTGAAGGAGAGCTCCTTGGGCCTATGTGTTCGTGTATTGACTGAGAGTTGGGGGTAATATTGTTGCTGGCTGAGAGGCACATTGGGATTATACTGAGGGAATATGGATCTCATAGGAATGACAGGTGAGCTGTAGGCCCCGGAAGCTCCCTGAGCCAGTGGGGAAGCTACATGGTTGTTGCCACTCCCCGTCGGGGACGCCTGGCTGGCATTACTCGCCGGCGAACCCCATTGACTTTTTGTGTTATCTTTTGGGCTCTTGCTAAAAAGCGACTCAGGCGTCCTCAGTTCCTGTACAGTCTCTGGTATGGATACAGGCATCGACCGAGGGGGTTTCGCTTTCTTCGCGGCCTTCATGCTCTTCGCGTCGTCAACGATTTGGAAAAGCAGCGCCTCTGTCTTGATATCTTTGCCATTGAGATCATTCAGAGGGATTGAACCCCCAGGTTGTGTGCCCGTGGCTCTTTGGTTCTCTAGGCGAAAGGGGTTCGTGGAAGCCTTGGTTCTTGACGGCGATGGAAAGAGTTGAAACTGACTCATTGTGCAGATCGAAAGATGATCGTCAGAGGGGTATAAGTATTGACTCTTGAAGAAAAGTGGAGAAACAACAATATACAGGTGTCTATATGCAATCCGCAATCGTGTCAATGTTCATGACGATGCACAAGATTGATCACAACACCGATAATCTCAACACTCCAATTCTAATGAAATGCCAAAGAGACTTGATAATGAAAAGGTCCAAGTATTGAACCATGAAGGTATAGAATGCCATCTTGATCAGTGGGATCCAGTGTGACATATACCCCTCCCTCGTGGAGTAGAACCCTGGCTGCAGCATAGCGTCGAAAGCTAGTTAAGCTCAGCGTCAAGGATCTGAACTATGAGAGGTTCCCACTAGTGTGAAAGATGGACATTGTTATGCATGACTGCCGAATTGCCATGGCCGGCGCTTAATCTCGACCTCCCGGGTCCGATGATAGGCTGAAGCCTGAGCGCAAAGACCAGTGTGACATCAATCGCGGCGCTTCGAGGATTAAACCCTGGGATGTGATTTGCGACGATCCTGACGCACCAGAGCCAAACACAGCTAGTGCTATGCTGCAGTTAGTGTGAAGAAGTCGGAACAGGGGGATACGGTGTGAGCCGCCAGCAGCTGGTTGGCTCTTGTATTCAATACTTTCTATGACTGGTGGGTTTTCCAGAAGTTTATCGCCTGAGAGAAACAAATAGGGGTCAATTGTTTCTGTTAAATTGTGATACGGTGGCTGTGTCGCTCTGAGAGGAGGAGGAAAAGCGGTTAAGGTTGTGAACAAGGATGTGATGAAGTGATCGAGGCAAACCTTCTACATCCTCGCTTGACCCTTTAGGAAGAGATATGCGCCCACACTATCTACCACAAAAAATCTATATCGCTACTTTAGTTGAAATGGATGGATCCTGCGTGTCTGTAGCCGCTCTAATTCGCGAAGGCACGGTCATTCGGTGATGCCATTCTGAAACGTTCATCATACCGGAGTAGAGTGTGTATTCAGTCAGTTAACATCTAATATCTAAGACCCAAAAATGGTAACTTCCGGAGTATCTGAGTCGTCTCATGCTCATAGCCCAGAAGGTCATCAACAATATCATACAAACACCCAATCAGGACCTCCAAGGAGCGAACAACGGGAGTATATAAAAAAGTACACAGAATAATGCTACTTCCCAGTCAGGACAGATCGGACCCCGTCTGCAAACAATAGCTTGGCATATATGAAGTGAAACTTTTCAAGATACCCCGCACTGACGGGGTGTCCTTGGTCGGATTACATATAAACTGCTGCAAGCTGATCTCAGGCTGCGGTGACCGAGTGACCTGGACTCGGTGACATCCGGCGAATCTAGACCGATCCGAGCCAAATCCATAGTCGACGTAGCTAGGCTCCATTCCTGAAGCTTTAGATATATGCATGTCTATCAGCTTGAAGGAGCCAAAGAAGCGGCTGCCAAGTGGTAAGAGGTTGGTGCTTGGGATCTTAGTGTGGTTCCAGATGGCCATTGCCGCCGGGTCATCCTGAAAATCTAATACATATTTGAGTGCCCAATGTCTTATTGAGATCCAACTTATGATGCAACAAGCTATGGAGGAACGCGTGCTTACTTGAAAACTGTGCCGAGAGTAATTTCCACCCCCCAGCCTTGAGGATCAGCCTTTCGCAAGCAAAGACATATCCGCCAAAGAAACCGGTGGTAAACAACGACAATACTTCCTCGTCGCTTAGTCTTGCGATGTCTGATTCTAGGAGTTTTTGTGTCACACAGTCTGTGGTGGTTATAACATTGTGGCGTGGATTGACGAAGTTGAACGAGGAGGAGCGTAGAAATCCAGCGTTAACTGGATAGTCTCTGTGAGATTGGCGGAGGGATTCAAAGAATGGACCCCGAGACAGAGTGCGAAACCAATTGATCGACATGACTAGCTGGGTGCTGTATAGCCTGTATTTTCCAATGTTCAGATGAAAGGAAATATGGGGAATGTCAAGAGCCTCGCGGTTTCGGGCCGAAAGGGTTACGATGACTCAATCGTATACGAGCGCTAACTGCTTACACTCCATGTCTTAGATTTGCTACTTGAACTGAAAGGGCCTTGCTTCGGATTGATTTTGAACAACAAGCGTCGCTACTAGGATATAGTACAATACTAGATTTTCCCCAACGAGTGGTCAAATTCAGGGTATAAATCTCGAGTCCCATTTTCATAGTGCTCATAGAATAAAGCCCATGCTATATACTTGCTGGATTCAATTCTGCCGAGCCAATTGAGCTTGAAAATCTATCGATGTCTTGAAAAGGCATAGTAGAGCTGAATGGCCAGCTTAGCGCCGTAGAGGATATAGTAGGTGGGAATGTGGGCAGCTTGACAATATGGACGGCTTGCCATGGCCAAAGAAGGCATGGTACTAAAGGGAACGCATAACTTTCAGATAATAGCACCGTTGCTTTAAACAACTGGGAAGGGTATATGTAAATAACTGTTTATGTCGCATAGAAGTACACTGTATGTTGGGGGTCCGTATGCAAAAGATGTCTAGAAGATAATATACAGTTAGTTGCCACTTGGACGATCATGCTCCATGGCTTCCTCATGGACTGAATATGTGAGCGCGTCGGCCATCGCAATGGCGCCATCCATATTTCCTTTGTTATACAAAATAAGCCCTGCAGGGCGGCCGCACTTGTAGCCTTCGGTTGGTCGGGCTGCCGGCCGTTTTCGTCTTCTATTAAACCAAGCTCGTGTAGTCGGTCGAGGAATGTCTTTCGATACTTTCCATCTGTATCCAACTCACTATAAAATCGATCCCAGAGACATGCAACCTGGTAGCGGGTGACCTCGCCCAAACGAACCGTCATGTCTACCCGGCCAGGCCGAACCAGAGCTGGGTCTAGCCGCTCCACATGGTTCGTCGTCAGGAATATCACGCGTTCTTCAGCACTTGCAACTCCGTCCATGGCATTCAGCAGACCGGAGAACGTAACGTTAGCACCGCGGTACCCATCGGCGTCAGACTGAACTCGCCGATTGGAGAAGGCGGCATCTACGTCTTCGAGCAGAACAAGTGTGCGGTTAGGGACAATGGTGAGAAGATGATTCAACCGATCATCCGTCAATCCCCGTTCACTAAGGTTGAGAATGGCAATATCGTAGTCTAGTTCACCCGCCAAAGCCTGGATAAAGGAGCTTTTTCCCGTGCCTGGCGGCCCGTAGAGCAGATAGCCCCGTCGGTACGGAATTCCACGATCATGGTACCATTTCCCGCTAGATAGAAAGTCTTTGACATCGTCCACAATCCGTTCCTTGACACCCTCATCAAGAATGACTGATTCCAAAGGGCGCTTCCGTCGCGGTTGTCCAAACAGTTTCCATTCAGTCCCCCAGCTGTTGTAGATTGATGTTTTGCCTTCATGTGATTTAGCTGCGAATGCGTGAGCCTCTCTGAAGAGATCTTCAAAAACATGGCGATGCGAATAGAGAGTGGTCAGGGTAATCGTCTCCCACGGGCGACCAGTCTGAAGGTCGAGTGACTTCGACTCGCGCATCCGATTTACAAAAATAAACGCATTCTTGTAGCGCAAGACATGTCTCCCTGGGCCAGGCACTAACGAAAAATGTGTATGTATCGCACCGTTTGAGTGTTCGACTTTCTGCGTTTGGATTGAGAGGTGGCGCATCCCGGGGGTCATTCTCTGGAGTAAGGATTCCATAAAGCCAGACCTGCTGGCTGCCGACTGAGCCGAATTGAGCTGCGAACGTTGATATAGAGTCATCCAGTGAAGAAACCAGGGATATGAATCGTCCTTTACGCTGATTTCCACATCCACGAGCATGCGCCTTCGCAGGAGTGCAGCGCCATGTCGAATGCCCTTCTGAGCGAAACTTAATCCAGCACCCAAACCGGCGAGACCGAAGCCCTAATAGTTCCAGAATCAATTAGATCAACCGCTTCTTGAATACGTATCACAATGTGGCCCAAACCGCCTTACCGCTGTGAAGAAAGGATTGCTAGATAGCTGGGCGAAAAGCCCGCCATCTCCGGTGGGCTGTGCGGCCGCCTGGATAGCATCTTTCTTCTGTTGCAGGATTAAGTCGCCAGGCGAAGGCAGCCCCGGTGTACTTGGTGGTCCATTCGGGTCCATGCCAACCGAGGGAAAATTGAATACTAGAGCTGACAGTCAATCCAACACTTTCTTCGGGCAATCAAGTGATTGTTCCGAATGATATCGGAGACCCGGAAGTACAACGGGCCGATTCTTCGATAACCCCATTGGGCAACGTCTCGGCTTCGAAACATACTGCAGACCGGAGATATCGGACTTAATGGAAACGTCGCTGTTAGTGCTGAGACTTGGAGGTTTAATCATGTTCAAAGAACCAGTAAAACTTGAGGTAGTGGGCTACATTAGGCTAGCTGACAATTATTAGGTAGCTACAAAGGTACGTAGTCTCATGCCATGTGAGCGCAAATCTTTGGGCTCGCAGAAAAATACTACGCTTCGTGGCAGATAATAGATCGCCGCCAGTTTCGCTAGCAGAGCTAAAATAAATACAGTTATATTTGAAAGAGACTCCTGAATTCCTGCACAACCGGCATGAGACACTTCTTTCGGCGAATCTTTGGGTTTCGTCAACATACTTCATCTCACAGCTCACCTCAGAGACGCGCCATGAGCTCCTCGACCGTGGCAGTTCTTTACGCCCTCACCCTTTCGATACCTTCAACCTCCACAGGTCCTGAGGATGCAAAAGAGAAGAAACACCATGTCTCAGGGGGTTTCACGAATCCATGGGAGTAAGTACTGCAGGGAGATGCTCGTTACAAACCTTCCGCATACTAATCGATCACATAGTTCATATAAGACCCCCGCTGTTCAGCGCTTTTTTCTGTGAGTACTATCAAAAACTGGTACCGGGGACCTATATCTAGCCTAACGTGTGAGTACCATCTCAAGGCGACAAATAAATGGTCAAGCAAACCGTCCCGACACTACACCTCCAACTGTGCCTGTCCAAAAACCAGAGTTCTTGTCTAGTAGAGATACTCCTAAGTTGCGTGCGACTTGGCTGGGTCATGCCTGTTATTATGTCGAGTACCCCAGCGGTCTGCGAGTACTGTTTGACCCCGTCTTCGAGGACCGTTGCTCGCCATTTTCTTGGCTGGGCCCCAAGCGTTACACTGAGATGCCGTGTCAAGTCAAGGATATACCCATAATCGACGCGGTGGTGATATCTCATAATCACTATGACCATCTGTCGTATCCAACAGTTAAAGAGATCTCTAAGCGACATCCAAATTGCCATTTCTTTGTGCCTCTGGGCAATGAGGCGTGGTTCAAAAGCTCTGGAATTGACAATGTGACTGAATTAGACTGGTGGGAGGAACGTGACATTGTTCTCTCGCCGTCCCAATCGACAGGGACGCAAGTTGAAGAGCCAGCCGAGAATGGTGGTTCAAGTCCAGGAGATATAAAAGGGCGGGTTGGATGCCTACCCTGTCAGCATACTAGTAACAGAGGCGTATTCGACCGAGCAAAGACATTGTGGGCTTCATGGTATGTTGAGTCCGGCGGACGCAAGGTCTACTTTGCTGGGTATGTAAACAGACAGATATTTGTGAGTATTTAGGCTCCGCTGCTAACCTATGATACAACTACAGAGATACCGGCTACAGAAATGTGCCAGAGCTTCCTGACGGTGCTGATGACCATGCACCGGAATACGACTTTCCAGTATGCCCTGCTTTCAAGCAGACGGGTGAATTTCGTGGGCCGTTCGATCTGGGATTGATACCGATTGGAGCCTATAGTCCTCGCTTCGTTTGGAGCCCAGTGCATGCTGACCCTCACGATGCAGTTCAGATATTCCAAGATACCAAGTGCAAGAAGGCCCTGGGTATGCACTGGGGCACTTGGGTGTTAACAGAGGAAGACGTCCTTGAGCCACCTAGAAAATTGAGAGATGCGTTGAGAAAACATGAAATTCCTGAGGTCGGAGTTTTCGATGTTTGTGACATTGGAGAAAGTCGGGAGTTTTAGTGTGAGGGTTATTGGAGGCTACTGAAACACTGGTGAATCTGGGTCTGAAACTGTATGGAAAATGGCGGGAATTAGTATACGTGGTCTATATATAGCACTGTTACATGTACGCAATATTTGACTATATCTTCAATGGTAGAAAATAGCTTGCTGAATCTTTCGTCGAGCTGGTCGGCGCATATCGATAGACTGTAAGCGCTGGCCTAAAAGTTCTAATTATGGAGTAGAGTGAGTGAATTGGCGCGGCGCTACTGATTGAACCTGGTACACATCTTAAATATGAGTGCCTAAGTCTCAAAGTAAGCAGGTACTTTGCTTGAACAACACAATTTGACTTGTCTTTCTTACTTTGGATGCACTGTCCCTATGACCCCTGCTGAAAAGTGCCGGATGTTGCATGATACAACCTGCATAGTATGAAATTACCCGACATAATAACAGGACCAAACTAAGTAAGTGATGCATGCAATTAAACAATACGAGAAAAAGGAGGTAAAGAAAAAGAAAACATGCATACAGGAAGCCTAACGTTGCACATCTGTATCAGGTCATTAGCCTTGAGCAAACGCGTTGCACTGAGCAACCCACAACAAACACAGACCAAACACAATCCTCAGCTCCTCGAGAACTATACTCACATTCAATAGCCCTTGCCCTTGAAGCCTAATCTTTCTAGGGCAGTAAAGGTGTTATTGAAGTAGTAAAATAATGCACGTCGAGATGTCAGGCTATTTCGAACCGACAGCGCTCATTCCAGATCCCCTTTCGTTTCACCAGGAGAGAAACTCATGGGAAATGAACCGATATAGGAGCCCAGAAGACGGTTACTTCACAGAGAGCGAAGAAGAGGTCCTTTACGGTTTGGATGAAGTAGCCATGGCCGCGCTACCACTCCGATTACAAGAAAACATGCGCGAGTTACATCTTGAGCGCGTACAAAGATTAAAAAGAGAGGAAAGCAGTACTCCATTCTACAAGCCATCTTACCATGCAACATCACCAGTGATTTGGTATAAGGACTCGATAGCCGCGATGGAAGCAAGCCAGGACACGGAGAAGAGCGATCGCGGAGGTTTGCCAAGTTCAAGCCCGGAGCAAGCCGATTGGTATCTGTGGCAGAGAATACGTGAGATGAATGAGAGAAGGCATATGGAATATGATACTATCGCGATGGCGGGGCATTATTCCCACAGCTCGAATGCGCGCTTCAATCTGGGCAACAATCTGTTTTCAAAGCACTCGACCTCAACGGAAGAGGCCATTGAAACCGAATATACAAGCGACCAACAGACTCGCAACAGATACATATCACAGCTGACAGACACAAAAGCCCGGACATGTGTAGTTCACACAGTTGAAGACATCGAGGCACCTCATGAAGGGTCCAATGTGCATGAGCGAGTTCGCCAGAGAGGCTCGTCAATGATTTCCGCTATGCGTGGCCGCATGCGAAAGAGTATCCAAAGAATGAGCAGGGTCTTCAAGAAGCAGCCCAGTTTCCGAAGTCATAATCGAGCATGCGAAACCTTTGTTTCGAGTTGATACATGGCAGCGCCATACTGTTACGGAGATAACGATGATCACCAGAGTTATGACAGAAAGTTGTTACGGGATGGCTGGACACATCACCAGGGAGCAATAATTTGGATGTCATGTAGGCAAACAAGCGAGTGCAAATATTTCAGGTCGTCTAGGCAGTTGTACGAATAGTACATACAATAAAAGTGTTTGGATTTGATAGGAGTGGATTTAATCAGGAGAAAGGTAGACTAATCCTGAAGGGGATTAGTGGGGGTGAGCTTCCAATCCGCAATCCCACTTCGAGGTTCGCTGGAAATTTGATGGTGAAGGCGGGCACAGCACTCCAGATCCCCCTAACGAACGCGCCCCTCATTTATCTTGTTCTTCAGTTGTTTTTGAAGAACCCTTTCAATAATATTTAGGAATACCCAACCTCTCTTTTTCCCTCCCCGCAGTACATTAAGACCACCGCCAAAATGCAGGCACCGGTGGTGGTAATGAGTATGTTGTCAACGGAATTCACCTTGGCTTTGACCTCATATGGCTAACAATCATAGACACCAACGCTGGTGAACGACAGGTCGGCCGCAAGGCCCAGCTTTCGAATATTACTGCCGCAAAGACGTACGTGACAATACGCTTTCTAGCCACTCCGGCTCTAACATAAAAATACTCGCAGTGTTGCGGATATCATTCGGTCATGTCTGGGACCTAAGGCTATGCTGAAGATGCTGCTCGATCCTATGGGCGGTATCGTCTTGACTAACGATGGACATGCTATTCTGAGAGAAATCGAGGTGTCGCACCCCGCAGCAAAGAGCATGATCGAGCTCAGCCGTACTCAGGATGAGGAGGTCGGGGATGGAACCACGACCGTTATCATTCTAGGTATCATCGCACGCTCTCTCAAGATGCTATTATGTTGGTATACTAACGCTTGGCAGCTGGTGAGATGCTCGCTCAGGCCCTCCCTCAGCTCGAACGTAACATTCATCCCGTCGTCATTATCTCTGCCTTCAAGCGTGCTTTAGCGGATGCCCTTGCCATTGTGGAGGAGGTCTCGATCCCTGTTGATATCGACGATGATAAAGCGATGTACACTCTTATCCAGTCGTCCATCGGGACGAAGTTTGTTTCCAGATGGTCGGAGCTGATGTGCGGTCTGGCCCTGAAGGCTGTGCGAACCGTTTCCTTCGATGCCGGTGGTGGAAAGAGGGAGGTTGACATTAAGCGGTATGCTCGTATTGAGAAGATTCCTGGTGGCCAGATTGAAGACAGTGAGGTTATCGACGGCGTGATGGTGAACAAGGATATTACCCACCCTAAGATGCGGAGAAGAATTGAGAACCCCCGAGTCGTCTTGCTCGACTGCCCATTGGAATACAAGAAGGGTGAATCTCAGACAAACATCGAGATCACGAAGGAGGATGACTGGAACAGGATCCTGGAAATTGAGGAGGAGCAGGTTAAGCGCATGTGCGATGCCATCTTGGCTGTCAAGCCTGATGTTGTCATCACAGAAAAGGGTGTTTCGGGTAAGAAGCTTCTGCTCCAGACTGCGGGATGATTCATTACTGACCACCCGTCCAGACCTCGCACAGCACTTCTTGATGAAGGCCAACATCACAGCTCTCCGCCGAGTGAGGAAGACGGATAACAACCGTATCGCTCGTGCCACTGGTGCGACGATCGTGAACCGGGTCGATGACCTCCAGGAATCTGACGTAGGAACGGCTTGTGGATTGTTCGAAATCGAGAAGATCGGCGACGAATATTTCACCTTCCTCAGAAAATGCCAGAACCCTAAGGCTTGCACCATCCTTCTGCGTGGTCCGTCTAAGGACATTATCAACGAGGTTGAGCGCAACCTTCAGGATGCTATGGCCGTTGCCCGGAATGTCATCTTCCACCCACGACTGTCCCCTGGTGGCGGTGCTATTGAGATGGCAGTTTCTGTCAAACTGGGCCAGTTGGCGAAGTCTATTGAAGGCGTTCAACAGTGGCCTTACAAGGCCGTCGCTGATGCTATGGAGGTTATTCCCCGGACGTTGGCTCAAAACGCAGGAGCCAGCCCTATTCGTGTCTTGACTCGCATGAGGGCCAAGCATGCCGAAGGCCACACCACATGGGGTCTTGATGGTGACTCTGGTGCCCTCGTTGACATGAAGGAATATGGCGTCTGGGAGCCTGAAGCAGTGAAACTCCAGAGCATCAAGACTGCTGTGGAAGTAAGTAGACTATGTTCTCCTCGTGTTGCTGGTACAGTTGCTAACCCGGTTAGTCCGCATGCCTACTTCTCCGTGTTGATGATATTTGCAGCGGCAAGTCTGCACAGCAGGTGGGTGCCAACCTTGGTGGTGGCGATGAATAAGACTAGTAACAGGTTTAAAAATGCGTACATAATGCTGCACGATCACCTCTTGATATTGTACGAATATCCTAGACTAAAAATTACACGGGTATCTTTATATCGTACACTCCAAAGTGACAGCGATCTCGTAATATCCTGCCCACAGTTTCTGTTGGCAACCGTAGTCTCAGTCTTCATGGATTATCACCCCTGGTGTTTCCGCATGTTCGACGGCATCTACTGGCCAGTTTTGATCTTCGTCCTTATTCCCGTCGAGTGCCCTTTTCGTCGGCCCATCAACAGCCATGTTGTCAGGCCCCTTACCATTGCTACCAGCGCCTTTCTTTTTATTCTTTGCCGCATTCCTCTTTTCCCTTCTTTTCCGGTTCTTTTCCGTCTTTTCTTCATCCTTCCGCCTTGCCTCCTCTCGTTCTTTCTCCCAATCTTTGTCTTCCTTCTCCTTACTGACCTCGCTTTCCATCATGCGTAAGCGCTCATATTCCCTCCTGCGACTGGCCTTATAAACGTGGAATTCTCCGGAACCGGCACCAGCAGAAGAACCTTGAACATTCGCCACGATTTCCGGTGGAGGAGGCAATGACGCTGATGAGCGCTGCTTGGAAGAATCGGGGAGCTTGATCTCCTTCGCGGGGTCGCGAAAGAGAGACTGAATCTGAGAAGCTTGCTCCGACTGCGCTGTGACAGCACGACGTTTGACGGGCCGCTTGCTACGCGGATCCGCGCTCGTAGGGATCGATTCCGGGCCTGGTTCGGACATTCTGAGACTTTGCGTTTGCCTTACGCGGGTAATTATAAAGTAATCCTGCGGCGATCTACGCAAAGTGTGACCTGGCAGGCGCAAGATCTGACGTGATTTCGTTGGGTTTGGTTGTTTTCGCAACTTGAGGTCTTTGAGGTAGTAAGTTGGGAAATTTTGTTTTTAATCGGCGTAAATTTTATGACGTTTGTTTTGTTTTAACACCCGGGCCAATCACGAGTAGACGGAGTTGTCTAGAAGCTCAGGGCTGGAGAAAAGTTGATGCTCAGGTGCTCGGATAAGCCTACTAAATTAAACCAATCTAGAGCGGTGAAGGCGTGGGGTTGTTTATCTTTGGTCCTTTCGTGACTTTGTCTTCAGCTGTTCAAACTCCCCCTTTGGTTTCTTGGCTGTTTTATGTAGGACAATGAAATCTTTTTGGGTTAGTTGGTCTTTCTTGCCGTTGTCACACCGATTATAGCCTTAGAAACGAAAATTATAATAATTAAGTGAAGGAATTGAGACGGGGCAGTAAGACGATTCTGTCACGGCCTCAAGTAGCGCATGTGACTACTGCCTTAGGCGACGTCTCTAGGATCTATAGCATCCTCCTACTAATCGCTCTCTCTCATACAATTCGTTCCTTTTCCTAGTTCTTTCCACTCACGCATCTTTGTCCCTTTGTATCAGGGATGCTTCACTCCCTTTCGGCTACTATTAGCACAAGTATACTCATCTAACGGCGTTATCTTCTCCGCGCAAACCCCGCGTCTTATCGCGCGATGGATGTAAGATCAGGACTCACTGACCAAGCAACTAAGATAGGAGGTAAGAAAGATGTGAAGGTTGGTAGGATCAAAATATAATCTTACTGCACGAGTCTTCGGCAAGGAACTGATATATTATCTACAGTTTGAAGCCGACGATGCATGCTGTTTAAAGTCCAATCCTACTTTGGTGGGACATGTCTGCGTAAGTACCGCCGTTTGATCGATATCGGTTTATTCTGGCTAAATGGTAATGTACAGAGAACTGACCATGATGTATGTTCTCTCTCCTTTCTCCGATGGCTGAGACGGTCGAAGCAGTTGCTGAATTGACCTGTCCAAGGTTGATACCGATGAACCCCTGAACCTGAGTACATGCTTAATCCTTTCTTATACCCCCGTTCCACAGAAGGACTTGGAGGAGTTCCTGGAAAGTGGAGTAGTATGTAACCACAACCCAACTGTCGACTCTCTCTCTCTCACTGAAAGTTAATTCTCGTATTAGCCTCCAAAAGGGTATGTTTTTGTTAGCTTCCCGGAGCCCTCGCAGGGAAACTCGCTCATACATGAGAGCGACCTTGAACTAGTCGATCGCACTTTGGATCTTGGCGACACTGTCAAGCGGCACCCAGATGACACAATCAGCGGTACGGTCATCAGTACCTCTGCAACATGTAGCCTTGAGCCAATCGCTTATCGAACGCTCGATTCCAAGACTGGAGAGTATGGCTCTCTCAACTTCGCCGAAAAGGTCATCAAGCGGGAAGGCAGTCTAGCAATTGAGAACGATGCCACAAAACCTCCACTTCTGCATGAGATTCCAGTAGTAGAACTCAAGAAATACGAAGAATTTTCCGAAGGCGATTATATTGTCTACCGGCAGAAGCTTGGAATCATCCATGGAATTGATCGTGATGCCATACTGCTTCTTCCAAATCAAAGCGTTGTATCTCCCCTCGATCCGGGTGCTCTGGAGATCCCGCTTCCATTCGAAATCGAGAGCCTCGTGTCATTGCCCAACAACACCAGTGCTATGCGGCATTACCCCTTGGCTAATGGTGGCTCAATCTGGTCCAACGAATCAACTTTCGTGTTCCCTGGCCAATTTTCCTTTACGTCCAGGAAAAACCTGAGCAGAGGCGACTTGTCCTCTAGTGCAGCATCAATCTCACAGCCAGAAGGCTATGTCATAGCTACGCCGGCCATGGATATCCAAGTCGACTGGCTGTGTCCAAATGTTTTTGCCGCAGGAACATCCCATAGTGGGGCCAACCTCGAGGTAATAAGAGCATCTACTCTCCGTGGAAACGCAGTGGTATGCGACTTTGGGCAGATTCCCCAGGGGAAAGCCAATGAAAAACCTATTTATTCAGATACCTGGCTTAATATCGGGGATAGGGTGCGTTTCCGGGATTCAATATCTGCAGCTGCAAAATATCCGGCATATCAGCACATGCCTACTGACCAAACATTCGGCTACGATATAAACATCCTCCGTGTTACTTCCAAGAAGTCGGAGGCCACTGTTCAGTGGCAAGATGGGACTACTACCACCGAAGCAACCACTTCTCTGCACAAATTCTTTGGCGCTGAGGACGAAGTCTGGCCGGGAAATTTAGTTGTCACGAAGGATGGTATTGAGACTATCCGGGAGCCCTGCAAGAACAATACCGGCCCTTTAGGGCGCCATATGAAGGAGACATTGCATGTCAAAAGAGTCGGGGTGGTTCAAAATGTGGATAGCCAGGAGAGGATAGCATCGGTCCGCTGGTATAAGGATCCGGATGTCAAAATGACACATCGGGGAAGCATGTTAGTGCCTGGATCCTTCCTAGGCGAACTTAGCGATGTTGTCACAGAAGTCTCCATCTATGAGCTTTACTCATATTCTAGCATGCAAAGGGTACTGAATGATCTAGTACTTCTGGCACCCAGAATAGTTCACCGGTCATCAATACCAGCAACTGACAGTGAGCCGACTAGAGCAGCTGGCCCTTGTCGGCTGAGCGCTCTCTCTCCTGTCACCTTCTCTGAAACAATTTCATACCTCGAGTCCATGAAACTATCCATGGTGAACTCTGAATGGTTCAAAAGGACTACTGATATTGACGCGTCACCTGTACCCCCCAGATACAGCGTACACCACGAAGAATTTAACATCAAATTGCCAACTGACTTCATTGGCAAGATCGTTTCAATAGATACTGAGGGCGCCATCACCATTCGAACTGCAGGCGCCGACAGTGTTCGTGATATTCGCGTGCCATGGGAGAGAATCATGATGATAATTGATGAGGATAATATAATTCCGCCTATGGCGCTCCCGCCACTCGAATTATTGAGCCTCGCGGATATCGATCGTTTTGTACAACCAGCCGACCTCCCATTCACTGAGACGATTGAATATGAGGGCGGCGAGCGTCTTGATAATGATAGTGGGGATGATGACTGGGCGACTGAAGGCGAATCCGAGTTTGACGATGAGGACTTTGAGGACGTGGAATACAACAGCGACGATAGTGATGGGCCGGTGGCCCCCGCATTGTCAATTATCAATCCTCCTGAGAGACTCAACCATAACGAGCGGGAACAGCCTGTTACTGATGAGGCCCGAGCTGAACTTCCTCGAGTGGAAAATAGACTACTTATACTCTCAATACCCTTGCCATCGTCATGTCCTCTGGGCTTCTCTCTGTTAGAAAGCCCGCCCCCTTCTGACCACCATTTCTTTTCCAGGGTCCCGAGTGAAGCTCCTGGACTGCGTACCAAACGTATACAAAAAGAATTCGAAATTCTGCAGTCCTCTTTACCGGCTGGAATCTTCGTGCGGACATGGGAGTCTAGAATGGACCTCTTACGTGTTCTGATAATTGGGCCTCAAGGAACACCATATGAGCATGCGCCGTTTGTGATTGACTTTCACTTCCCTGATGATTATCCTATTCGTCCTCCAGCAGCCTATTTTCACTCGTGGACGGACAGAAATGGGATGATCAACCCCAACTTGGGAGAAAATGGCAATATCTGCTTGAGTCTCCTAGGAACTTGGCCTGGGAAAAGTCCCACGGAAAGTTGGTCCCCCACCAGCTCGACGGTCTTGCAGATCTTGGTTTCAATCATGGGTCTCGTATTGGTAAAAATGCCATTCTACAGTACGTATAACCTTCGCCGACGGGCTTGCATGAGTACTAACCTGATCAAGATGAGGCTGGCTACGAAACACTTGCTGCGGAGGAAGACAGGCGTGTCGAGTCGACCCAATACACGGAGAAAGCCTTCCTGATAACACGGACTTTTATCCAACACGCCCTTGAAAACCCTATCGCTGGCTTAGAAGATGTTCTAGCTTGGCATTATTTCGCAGAACCCCGACAGAGACAAAACGATACTTGCATCCGCCCACGACTACTACGTCGGGCTATTGACGAAGCTCTTAGCATGATTGAGCATCATAACCGCACACCAGCAGGTGAAAAGCTGAGTGAGGAGCATGCGGCATCGGCCTTTGTGTCTCGTCTTAGTCTAGGGGCAGTTGTGATGTTGCGAAAGCATATTAATACACTGGAGAAGATTGAATTAGCTGCGAGTTCTGTCGAGAGGGTTTAAGCTTCTTTGATGCTGCGCTTTGCTCAGTGTCCAGTTTATCTAATCTGTGTTTATTTAGGGTTGTGGGTGTCAGTATTGACTGCTCTCTCGCATTCTTATCAGCACTGCAGCTGTCGCTTGGAATATAGGGAGGAAACAAAATCAGCAGTTACTGGGATATGAATGGTATTATAATTCTATAAGCTGTCCTCAATGATTTTCTTGAGCAATGCTGGGTCTTTCGTGCAATTTTAGAGGCATATGTGTTGGAATGAACCTGCCGACTGTATATACTTTTCGCAACCATAAACTGGATTAACAGGCAGAAAAGGCTCCAAACCAGAAAATGAAGGTCAGCACGTTGTGACGCCTTGTTCACAAAGACGAGAAACCTGACCAAATAAAACCAAGAAGAATTAAATAATGAAATCCAGGGGAATAAAGAGGAGTTGGCCTGCGACAACTGTAAAGAGAGCTGCGGGTTTGGTCGGTGGCGTGCTCCGTTGCTCTCTCTTTTGTCGGTTTTCTTTTCTCTCCCTTCATCCTCCATCTCTTTCCCTCTTGCACATTTCCTTCCCCCTGCTTCTCTTCTGTTTCTATGATACACTAATAGGTTTCAATATCACCATTAGTTATCGTTCTAAAGCCTGGCATTCTTGAATAATATCGCGACCTTTTAGCGCTTCTGTCGCACCGCGGATCAAAGAAAAACAGCCGCGTCGCTTGTTTTTAACATGCCATCTTATCGCTTGGGTAAGTGATGTTTTTGTCAATATTCTGTCTTATATTTGGGTAAAATAATTGGTGGTATATCACTGCCATTACTGCGATGATGCGATAGAGCCTATTCAATGAGATCTTGGATCTGTTTGCTGTCGTCTCTGGGTTGCGGTTGTGTCCCCAGCCATGTCAATCAGCCGCTGGGTGCATACTTGCAACCAGGCAGACGTCGCACAGTTCCTTCTCTTTTACCTTTTCTTTTTTTTCTTCTACCTATCTCCCTCTCTATCACTCTTTCTTTCTGCGTATTTCGGCCTTTATTGCTATACCTATGCATTGATTGCATATGGATGCTGCTTAGCTCTGTTCATTTCCATACATAGAGCATTATCCTAACCCTGAAACAGAGCAAGCCTCCACCGGCAGAGCTGGCTGTCAAAACAAAGAATGCAAAGACGAGAAGGTCAAGATCGCCAAAGGCGAGCTCCGTCTCGGCACCTGGGTTGACACCGAGCGCATCCAGGCATTTTTCTGGAGACATTGGTGAGCTCCTATTTAACTGCCTAGACCTGTCAGAATTGCCAGACTGACGCTTTCCAAAGGGGCTGTGTAACACCCAGAATCATTGCTAGTCTCAATGAAAATCTTGGGGATGATGACGAGAAGGATTACGAACAGCTAGATGGCTTCGAAGATCTTACTCCGGAAAATCAGGAGAAGGTCAAGAAGGCGCTGGAACAGGGCCATGTCGATGATGAGGAGTGGAAGGGGGTATGTAACTCCATTTTCTTGTCTCTCTTCTTTTCACCGGTCTTGTTTTTTAAGACTCGATGCTGTGTTTTGGATTCCAAGTGCTGACGGATATAGGATGTTGAAATGAACCGTCCTGGTAAGAATGGCTTCCGCGTGCGCGGATCAAAGAAGAAGACGGCTGCCGCTGAGGTTTGTTTCATCACCATTACCATGTAACCCATGTACAATGTTTCTAAACAATGTATGCAGGAGAGCGAAGCTGAAGCAAAGTCCCCTGAGCCAAAGACCAAAAAGCGTGGCCGTCAGTCAATCAAGGACGAGGCTGAAGGTCATGCTGAAGATCATGCTGAAGAGACACCGGAAACCAAGAAGCCTAAGACAGGAGCACGTGGAAAGCGAGCCTCCCAAAGCAAGGCGACAAAGGAAGAAGCAGACGACGATGCGGTAACTCCTGCAAAACCCAGGGCAACTAGAAAGGGCCGTGCCTCGAAGAATGACACCGAGGACAAGGAATCACCGAAGGCTCCTGCCAAAGCTACTAAGCCCGCTGCTAAGCGCCAGCGGAAGGCTGCTGCGAAAGATGATGAAGCGGAGCCTGTTGAAGAAGAGCCTGTTGAAGAAGCGCCTGCTGAGGAAAAGCCGAAGCGAGGCCGGAGGAAGAAGACTGCTGCTTAATGGTGCCCTACCGCCAATGGACACTCTCGGTCTTAATTTCATGCATGGTGTCTTGATGTTCTGTGGGAGTTTTCCGTTTTCTCGTTTCGTTGTGAGCTTCTAGTGTCGCTCTGTGTTGTTGTTATGCGAGTATGTTGAAGGTTCGTGTGTGAGCAGGCGAGCAAGCGTCTCCGTTGTATGTCAACTTTCATCCGTCCGAGGCGAAATGGTTATGCCGATAGTTACTTACGGTGTATTAATAGTAAATTTTAATAGGTGCTATAATGATACAACCACCTAATTCTGTATAACTGAAATCCACGGGCTTGTGAAATGAGGCGGCCTAATCTCTCAATTCCTAGCTTAGATCATTCTACTTTCCGACATCAACCATGAATCCTAGATATCAAACAAATTGGCACAGACAAAACCGGGCAATCCAAGAGAGTGACGGTTAAAACCAAAGACTTGCAAAAGCATCATAGATTCAGCTCAAGGAGTGGCGCCAAAACAAACAAATCATGCCTCAAAGTTCATTAAAAGATGATATTGATATGGTAGGCCAACCTCGAAGAAGTGAATAATTCAGCATGAGTCATAGAATGGAATCGATCGATCTGAGTTCAAGCATTCCAGTTCAACTCGTAATGTGAAGATCGGGAATTTTTTTTAGTGATTTTCTGTACATATCGTCGTGCTTACTGTGCAGTCGTTAGGTCATCTTAGGCGATTCATCGTTACTGTGCGATAATGTAAGCGCCTATTCAGGTTCAAAATAAGCAGAAAATGAGAGAAGACTAACCTAATCTCCTCCAGATCGTCCATGTGGTTACACATAGCAACAAACAGATCGAAATAGAACTTATGGCCCATCTCCATCTCAAACTGCATGGTTCCACTGGTCTTGAAAATCTGTCGGGTCCGAATAATCATAGCTAGGTAGTGAGCGCGTAGTCGATACTCCGAGTCTGGCGTGTTGTCGTAGGCATACCGAGCGGATCGTAGAATCACATCGATGGGGATTCCGCTCTGAAGACCCTGCTTGCGGATAGCAAGGCTTTTGAGCCCCTCCAGTCCATACTTCTCGGCTGCACAGTACACGACCGTGTCCCTGAGGACAACGTCACCTACGGCGGAGTGGAACATAGTCGCTTCGCTCGATCCGCGGCCACCGGGATGTGTGGTGACGTTCTGGCTGTTCTCAAGTTCCATTGAATTGGTGTCCTTGTTACGGAGCAGGCGCGGGAAATAATCTCCCTTGTACAGGAATTCGAGAACGCAGGACAGAACTTCTGGCTCTCTGGAATATGTTAGGGATACGTACGGTGCTAGTTCTGGGGTTTGGTTTGAGGACATACTCATCTGGCAGAGCCACTACCTTATTCTTGCTGTCCCCAACGAACTCGTCTTTGAGTAGAGACCGGAATAAAGGCGAGCGGCACAGAATTTCCTCATGAGCTACGAAGACACGTTGCTCGTGACTCACGATCATGGTGACTATAGGGCTGGTGAGGGGACTATAGAAATCATCTACGATCAGCTTAAACTCTTCTATCTCATTGTGCTTGGGCTTGAGAAGGCACTCTACAACGGGAAGTAGGATCCTTGGGAACAGGAAACAATATTAGTTACTCACGTAGCCGGTGACTGATTTTCCACCTTCTCTTGCATTTTCTTCGCCTTCGCATGTCTACCCGGTGTCTTCCTTGGAGACCTTCTAGACTTGCCGACTCGATCGCTTCGAGTGAACGAGCGATTAGAGGTTTTCAGTCTATCGTCCATGCCCATGAACTTGGCCAGAAATGACACTAGAGACATCCAGACGTAGAGACAAAAGATTGACAGAAGAAGCCAAACAAAAGGAAACGATCGAACAAGCTGGTCAATATAAACGAATGACGCTACCGACTCACGCACATTGCATGAAACAGAGAGTCCTGGAAGCCTTCCCAAGATGAGATCCTCCTCGTAATCGCAAGCCTTCATTAACGAAAATGATAGCTTACAGACTGTTGAGAAGGTGCAGGTTTCCTGGGAGCTGACTTTCGCCTACATAAATCCACATATGCGGAGTAGATTCACGTAGCGAGACTTGGTCGACTCTGGGGGGCGCGAGAAAGGAAAGGAAAGAAATGAGATGGAGCTGGCAGAGGGTCTTATATAGATGCGGGGAATGAATCATGTGATGATGAGATGGGTGATCAGCCACATGACGGCTTATGTAGATCACGATGTATATAGATATCTTAGTTCCGATATAATTTATTTTTCAGGTTGTATGGAAGTGTGTGTATTAGTTCCATTCAGTATACACTAGTCACAAGTCAGTCCTTTATATGCAAGTGTAGTTATTGTCATGAATTGTGATCACTATGAAAATTCAATCATATTGTACCAGAAATAGGGTCCCCTCCACGATAGACGATCAATATCTATCTCAGAACGGTTAGGGTGTAGTAAAGCTGAATAGTTCTGCCTTTACAGGCTTACTTCTACTCTGATTCATATCAGTCTGGAGAGTTATACCCATTGTACTAGTGCTCCATTTTGGGATTCATACAAGTAACACCAAAGAACGACATATACCAGCTTCTTCTCAGGCGGTGACAACCAGCACTTCTATATATCTATACTAACAGGCAGAATGCTTTTACCACAGCAACCAACATAATATCCACTAAAACACTGATCATCATAACCAACGGATTGAAAACAGCGAAGCTAGGCGCAGAACAACAGGTCTTGCCGCGGCCAGAGCCACCAAAGCATAAGCGTCTACTTACTTCTACTTCTCAAAGCCTTGCCATTTCATAAAATCCAGGTAAGGAAGAAACAATACCATTCCATTATTATATTGAGTCAGCCCTTTTTCAAGCCCCTGTGTCTTTTGTTGCCAACTGTCAATGTCTAAATCATCCACTGATCCTAGGGAAACGGTCATAGGGTACTATGGTGAACTGGACATTGGCAGGAATTTCCGTCCAGGGCGATATACTCATTACATCTATAATGATACATACACTGCTCACGCTGCTTAAGCTGTATGGATTATATGTGTTGGCAGTACTGGCGGAATTTGCTGCTACTTTTCAAGCAGATGAACTGGAGGAGTTGCTGGAGTATGCTAGAGCTCAAAGGGACGATACCTATGCACACAGCAGTCTCGCGGACAGTGATGGAACAGAGACCGATCTCACGGATAGTGACTCCACTGACAGTCACTGAGATGTTGGCTTAAGCTACGAAAGTGGGATTAGGGATACTGGCTCTACAGGCGGTCCTTTCATAGCAGCGACTAAGGTCATGATGCCGGCTTGACCCATGGGTAGTTACTTTCCAGAGGTGGTTTACGGACAGTGATTGAGATGTTGGATTGACACATACATTGTACTTGATGGCTAAACTGCCTTGATTCATCTTTGCCTTTCAATACCTGCTAATAGTATCATGCCTGGTCAGAATCAAGCAGCCACATATTGAAAGCTCTCATTATTCCCGGTTATTGTATGATTTTCGAGCTCAGCGAGTAAATGTCGACATCTTTTCGCATAATACTATTCTTTTTCCTTCATTTACTTCATGCCTTTCCACCGATGAATATAATCTTGAATATCACCGCAAGACGCCACCTTCTTATCGCGCAATATCGCGAAAGCAAATTCGACATATTCCTAACCACTTACTGTCCGTCTCGAATAGCCTTATATGCATCCACGAAGTAAGGAGTATCGGCTGATAAGCCAATCCTCTCCTTGCGCAAGGACACGAGCGAAATCGGGCTAACGGCAAGGCATCCCACTGGAATTTTATGAACTAGGCGCCAAATATGTCTACTTTGTTCTCCTGACTGTGGAATGTTTGCAAGTTTTATCAGCATAACCGTATAGATTTGTTGATAGCCAGAACCATGATCGGCAATCACTCCTTCGTTTTCTTTCTATCATTTTCCTAGTGGGAGCAAATTTGGGGGTTACAGTTGAGGCTAAATGAAACGCAATAAAATCACTGGACAGGGACTATCTTGGGAGGTTGATTGCGTGCACCCCCAGCCATGACTTTCGTCCCGAATTGCAGATGATCATCACAGCCATTTTCTTGAGTGGGCCAACGAATAGGGTTCTATGAGTACGCATCTTGCGGTCTACAGGGCTATTATAACTATAATCAGTGCCACCCTCCCTTTGCGTTATACTATAATACTCTGTACTCTGCAATCTAGCTTATTTTCCAGAACTCCGCGGCACACAAAGTAAACTTACCTAATAGCAATACTACCCCTCTGCTTTTGATCCAACAGTGCGCTTTTGCATACCATGAGAAACAAACTGACCCACCCCAATGTAAAATTTCGCAGGAAGGCACTTTCAAAGATTCTCAAGCTATTTCGCCAGGCGCCCAAGCATGAGCGCACTGCATTCCCGAGTCTCCTGGATCTTCCAAGCGAGATTCGTTTGCTTATCTACCAGTTTGCCTTTGCTACTACCGGCAACCATATACTCGTCACTGTTGATCGTGACAGACGTGAGAGTCGTCCGATGCCAACCACAGATGACCCAAATGAGCGACCTACTCGAGAGCTCAGATACACTCGCATGCCTTCCACACCTTTGCCAGCAGCCTTACTGCAGACGAACCAGCAGATATACTGTGAAGCCCTCCCGGTTCTATACGCGAACACCATCTTCTCAGCCTCATCGAATCTCACCTCATTAATGTACCTGAAAGATCGCCTGTCGCAATTCGCGAGAAACAATATTCGACAAGTTCAGCTTTGCCCTACCTCTTTGCTCTCTGAATCTTTTATTCGAGAGCGAGAGTTGCTGTCGTGGACCATCCTTTGCGCTGAAGTCGCCGATCTTCCCGGCCTCGGTCGAGTTTGGATATCATACCCCAAGCCAGAGACGTTGAAATATGGTACTATAGAGTTCCATCGAGGGCGCTATGCCAAGTGGTTGGATTTAGTTCGAGCTAAAAAGTGTCTTGTCTTTGACGTATTTGAGGGTAGCGCAGAAGACAGGGAAAAATGTCGAAAGCGGTTCAGAGAGATCGTACGAGACACCGGCGACGCTTTGGGGGATTGATGTTAAAGGTATATTGTACACTACTAATTTATGTTCTCGGTTCTTTCTATTCGCTGTTCGGGTTTCGCAGTAGGGCTTGCGCGGGACTTTTATAAATCAAATTGTTCACCTCGGGAAAGTAGAGTACCTCTGCTTCTATTGCTGGTGAGCGAGACTTACGGGCATGTAAAGCTATCATCATTAATTGTCTAACCAAGGAGGGGGGCGGTTGTAAAATTTATATTTGAGGGTCATTTTTATATCATGGAGCAGCTCTAATCGTACCAAGATGATGTCTTCCCGATCACCGACAACTCCACGTCGGAGGTTTCACGAGACTTGCTAGAATGTATTATCACTTCTGACTGACACAGCAATGGCTGGCTTCCATATAATATATTCGAAAGTAGCAGTAATGCTGGTATATTGAGTTGCCAAGAAATATATTTGATTCTGGTTCAGAGGTAACTAATCTATCTCAGCATTCAGAGGGCCTTTTTTTGTCTGCAATAGTCGATTCCTTTTGGCGGTACGTTCAATTGCTGCTCGTCTCACAAGAGTATTATCTCTTCTGTGAATCTCTTTTCTGGTAGTAGATTCCGGATCGGATAGTTTGTCTGACTGTTACTGACTATTTGCGATTCTTTTAGCTTCTTATATCTCAAGTTCCGTTTGAATCTTTTTTTTTCTTTTTTTTCAATTTCGGCGGGTATCTTATGCAGCTTCTCCATCAATACATGATTATACAGATTCTCCTTCAAGTAAAAAGTATACACATCGCGATATGTCCACCATTTTAGCAATGGGGCCTTGGCCTGAAGCTCCTCAAAAGTAAGCGGAATATCGGGTTCATTAGAACTAAACAGATTTGCAAGTTGCAATCGACAGTCATTTAACATGAATGCAGACGCAGGCCTAGGCATCATACGACCTGGATTTCTACAGAGGTTCTCTGCGTGAATTTTAGCCCATTCGTGGAGCAACTCCAGAGCATAGCGACTATGAACCCCTTCATATTGCTCTCTGAATTTTGTTCGACTACGAATATCTTTTTGAGTTTCTTCTTCTGTCATCTCGTGCAGCTACTTGCGTTTTCCAATCGACACGAGTTTAGTGTGTAATATAGAGCCGAAAGGAATGTACATGGTGGTTATAAAGCGTCTGAGCGATAGTGGTGTTAAAAGATGTGCGTGGTCTTCACTTTACTCCCTATATCTAGACGTGAATAGTTAGTTTCTGTAGTTTAAATATTCCTAGTATATAGAGTTTGATTTTACATATGCTAGTAAGTGGTCTCAAGATGTCAACATCTAAATCGGTCGAGTAATCCAAGAATAGGAACAAGAGCTCTAGAATTTTCAAGTCGTTTTGATCCGGCTGAACACTACTAGTACAATAGACGACTAGTGCCAATCGATTTGTCTCTGATTGGTCAGACAGTTTAGCGCCGACATTGAACAGAAAACAAGTAATTTACTGGAATCCGATTCAACGCCGTCGGAAGCGAGGGTCAGAGGTGGTGCTGACAGTAGGCAGATGATAGATCAGAATTCCATATCAATGCTCATACATTAGTGAAAGCATAACATGCATCTAAGGTGCTGGTGAGCAACCCGCCAATCATAGTTTGGCAGAGTAGATTCTTGACAGAAGGAGTAACTGTGGCTGTGCAACCAAATGTGTGGCGCACGAAGTCAGCTGTAGGTCAGGCAGTGATATCATCGCCCAGGGAGCTTCAACGTTCCTGAATTCCTGCCTGCATATGTAGCCCCTTTCTCCGGATTTTGGTGAAAGCGGATATTACTGATCTTTGGAATATTCAAGTGATGTCTCTGGTCTAGATGACTGTCAAGGGATACTCTAACTAATTCTTTCTCTTGGAATTTCCAGCTCACCGACCCAGCCATCTACTAACTTTAATACCCCTCTGTCGATCTGTTCGATCTGAATCGTGCCAGCCAAGACTGCCTTTTAACTTCGCCACAACCTTTAAGCTATCCTAGAGGAATATAATTAATTGCACTTACTTCTTTTCATACTCTGA